GGTCACTCATGCGACAAAAGTGCTTCGCCTGCTATACGCCGCCGGCCAACCACCCTTTGCACGTACAAATTTATTAGAGTCGGCAACTTGCAGTTTGTCTCGAAATGTTGAACTAGTATCAACAGTGCTTTGACACTTGTAACATTAAAATTTAATAAATTAAAAGAAATTAAAATAAATCAGCAGATGAGCCAATATTGAACATTTCTTGTTTTTTACGTTAAAAAACGTCATTCAGTCAAAATGTAACCAACGTAAAAGATAAACAATTCTTAACAGAAAAAGGAACGAACGGAGAAAGAGAATATTTCGAGAAACTGCATGACTGGTCAGAGCCATCAAACAGAAACGTTTTAACTTTCGCATGTATTAATCGGAATAATACCATGGACTAGTATACCGCTTAAATTGGAAAGAATAACAGGTTTAAAAATTAAAATCAAGACTATATTAATGTGTAAAGGACAGAGAATGAGGACAAAAAAGCAACAAAACCCATTATGCAGATTCAATTATAATCAAACAGTTAATTTCTAAAATCCGTATCCTCTTCGGTCAGTGTTCAGTAATCCCAAGAAAATACTCCCAGACCATGGTCCTCAATTATTCTATAAGTTTAACAGTATGGACTGTGAGATGCAACAACGCGGAATGTGCCGTATATTAGAGCACTCAGAACTCAAACTTCTGTTCCGTTTCCATGCTGTGACTTCGCATAAAGAGACTGTTTTGGGAATCTCTCCTCTGCCATCCTACATTTGTGACCAAGCGATCGCAATTGTGAACTCTCGATACGTAGAAGAAGCGGCTAAAAAGCGAATGTATATCAGTCTAAATGTTCAGAAGTTTGTGGACGATGGTCAGTTCAACCATTCATTGGAAAATCTTAATTTCCTCCTGTATAATGCAAGAAATCTCTCGCTCATCATTCCGTATATATGACCAACTGCGAAGACGTGTTATGAGACTGATTTGAAGTACATGATGACCAAGAATAACAGGACAGGTATTCTTCT